AAACGTTGCTACACCGCTCTAATCTGTGTAATATTATATTATATTATATTTTTTCCGAGATTTAAACATTGATCCTTTCTGTCAGTGCTAATCTACTTTTTCACTAAACCTGTAGAGAGTTTTGTACCATTTGGCGCAGGAAAATCTTTCTGTATACCCGAAGGGTAACTAATTTTAAATAACTGTTTAGAGGAATCCCATGATAAACAGGCGAAACATTGTATAACTAAAACAATAACAGACTGATACAGTGGGTTCAATATTTCATAGTAAGAAAATATTGACTGAAATTCAGATTTTTGTATTTTACATGGGATAAAACGGACGACACAAAAGAAACTGTTTCGAATACATTCTTGCATGATGCGAGACTGCACTGCAAAGCTCATAGTCTGAATATCAAGGAGTGATTCTGGGAAATATTGCATGCATTTGTTTCAACACTTATTATTAATAGCTGCATCGTTTCTTTCCAGCTAAACTGACATCTGACTGTTTAAAGAAGTCTGTTCGTTCAGGTTATAAAAAAATCATCAACAGCAAACTTCCTCATCATTGCGATAGTTATACCCAGCAAAGTGTTTTGTCATGTTCGGAAACTTATAATAATCAAAGCCACAGTCACTAACAACAGCCATTGAGACCAAGGATTTGTGTGCTGGCGTATTATTCTGATGAACTAAGAGATCTTTCGCTAGGTTTCGCGGGCGTCTGGTTTTGATAGCCTTTCCTAACTGCCTTAGTAACTTGGTATACTACTCTCCATTGTTGGTGTAGCTCCTATGAAAATAAATAATTAAAATACATTTTGCATTCCTCAAAAATGTGGCAATCTCAATCCCTGTAGATCCCTCGGCGTTCCTTGGAGTGGGTGAGGAGGTGTGTTTCCAATGCATGGATTGTCTCTTTGTATCGTGTCCGAAGGGATGAAACCAACAATCGTCCTGGGTTAGTAAACCTTCATGGAAACCAGCCAGATCTGCATCAATCTAAGTTACATTTTCTTGTGAGGTGATCAGCTGGTGCGCTTTTTTTTAGGTGTCAGAAGACGTGTCACCCACCGAGCTGAAACTTTCGTCATGACAAGGATAGAATATTCTGAACTCTCTCACGGGATTTGCTAATATCATTGTTTATTTAATTTCTAGTCACTCGCTTCTCATCTATCATCATGTGTTGAACGAGAGGAAGTTTTCCTATGTAGTAACAGTTGCAGGATATCCAGACCTTATGTTATCTTCATGACTCGATACGACTGCCCACATTTGCATTGTTAAAAATTCTGGAGTATTATCGCCTAAGGAAGGAACGATGTCAGTATGAATGTTATTTTGGACTATATCCCTTTTTCTGCATGTGCCTAAAAACAACATGATGCCAAATTTTGTCATTTTTCGCCACAAGTTTAATTTGAAGTTATCTTTTAACAACCGAATATAATTTTACCTGCAAAGAAACGATGTAGTTATTAATAAGAAGAGTTTAAATTGATTCATACAAGATTCCCTTGCTTTGGCATCATTCCTTCATAGTTAACCTATGAACTCTTCTTTCCGCATTTGTATTGTGTTTATCCGTTTAACGCAGGGTGTTAAATATGCATTTTATGTAATGTTTCAGTTCTGATGTGCATATATCTTTTTGTCTTAACTGCATGCAAAATGATCAGCCTTATTTTATTCCTTTGTCTCTTAAGCATATACCATTTCTAACGGTAAAATTTTCATTGCTCATCAAACTTCCGAAATAAAATCCCCATCCAATCAATATCTTCATTGCGTATCGATTCACAGGCAGACACCTGGCAACTCTAAACATACTGATTTATCTAAAAGTTTTGACATTATCCAGGGTGTAACCTTAATCAGTATAAATATTTCTGGGGATAATTGGACGAGAATCCTAATGCTGTAGAAAATGTCCAAGAGCCTATATGATATAATAATGATCAGCTTCCAGCGAATTTGCAGGTTGAGCAGATTGAGTAAACGAATGCCGAAGTGCTTGCCTTCACACTGATAGCAATGTACGCATGCGCACATATGACACTGTCGTTAACGTGGAAGAAATTACAGTTGGCTGCAAATTCTCATTCCTCTAAAATGCAAGAACAACCGAGTGCAATTAGATAGATAAACTTTGACCCTCTCAAGAAAAGGAAAATTCTGTGCATATAATTAAAAAAGGAAGCGTTGGAAAATGAACCAACTGTGTGTGAAAATAGGAAGTAAGAATACTGGTCAACTAAAAATACCAATAGAAAATACCGAGGTGTGGAATAATTGACATTAAATAGGCAAACGAAGACAGGGGCTGAGAAAGCAAAAAGAATCAAACCTACAAATGACTCAGCCCAAGATTCGCGGATTCATTTCAGAGTCCGGCAAGATGGGTGGTGATTATTCCTGGCTGATAGCCTCAATGACGCCTGGAATATACTTCACGGATAAAGCTACCCGATACAGGGGTTTGTTTGGAATATGTATTGACAATTCTTAAGAAAATTCATCAGATAATCTAAAGGAGTACCAAATGATTGCCTATAACTTCGAGGGGAATCTTAAACATATACAAAAATAGTTTCAACAGTCTCCCTCGTATAAGTGCTGTTGACAAGACAAAATTTGGGACGAACCGTGTGCGTAACTGATCCTCAGAGAACTATATATCATACAAGGATTCATTATGAACTGTCACGAACTTAACAATGTCTACTACACAACTGACACTATTCTAGACTGTTATAACCTAGGAAGGGTTACTGAATGAGGAATAACCAAAAAAGAGGTTGGAAATGAAATGATAATCTTTATGGCATCAACAAGATAAAATACTCGACAGCGGCGTGAACTAGGTAAACCACCGCTAGTGGTGGACTACTTAGGCAGCACATTACCCCCACGTACAATAGTGCCCAACGTATTGATGATGATTAGGACATACACATTAGTGTTCATAGGTATGGTATATAACATAGATAGAGAAAGAAAAACGCGGGGACAGCTATAAAATGTACGACAGAAAAGCTGGAAGATAATACGCATCACTTTTATTGTGGTTATCTAGAAGGAAAGTTAAATATGTCAGGTACAAATTGGAAAGAGAAATGTACCTACCATGTAATAAACGATGGAAAATGCGACAGAAAAATCAGAAGACGCACCGGAACAGCGAATGATGCGCCACAAATGATATTTTTAAAATGTTAATACGGTATATAGATTACGTTACAATGCTTGCTTGACTAATTCGTTTGCTACGGCTTAACAAACATTTTGCGGATTATTTAAAGCCAGAAATAGTTTTCTTGTATTGTAATAATGATAGTAATTGAAATAAAAAAAAAAACAATGAGTT